CGGCGGTCGAAGTCTGGACGGAGCCTGGCCGAGCTCACGCCCAGGACCGGGCCGCGGAGGTCCGCAGTGGCTCCCGTGAGGGCTCGCCCAGCAGCGACGACGGTTGCGCAGTTTGCAGCCACGCAGCGAAGGTGATCTCTAGTTTTGATGTGCGCAGAGCACTACTCCGGTGGACCTCCCCGAGCCCGCGGAAGTGGCGACAATGGCGCCCGAGGGCTCACCCGGGAGCACCCGTGCAGGGCGTGCCGAAGCCTCCTCCCCGTCCTGCAGCACTCGCGTCAAGTCGGGCCTGCCCCTCTACAGGAGGAATGTCCCAAAGCAGTCCAAACATAGTCCGGGGACGATCTTTCGATCATCTTTAGAAGCATGTTTGGAATCTTGTTTGACAGTTTTTTATATTTCTCGTCGAACATCGGCCTGTAGGGGGGGACGGCCCGACCTAACCCAAGCCTCCTCCCCGTCCTCCAGCACTCGTGCGGCAGCACCGCGCACCGCGGGTCCAGAAATTTCCGCCCTCCTGGAAACGGTTTGAAGCGCTGGGCACTGGAAAATAATGCGATGCAGGGCGCCAGCAGGAGCTAGCTGTCGCCTGCGAGCCCAGATGGGTCTGGTGAGCAGTTTTTCTAGAGGCCCTTGCCGGGGGAAAGCATCTCTCATGCCGCGCGGCCTGGCCTGATAGTTGCGGGGACTGGGGACTGACGTTTTGCCTAGCTCTGTGCGCCTGATCTTGGGAGCTCGCAGCGCCGATCCGAAAGGAAGGATGATGATGATGATGATGATGATGATGATGATGATGCTGCTGCTGCTGCTGCTGCTGATGCTGATGCTGATGCTGATGCTGCTGCTGATGATGATGATGATGATGATGGTGGTGATGGTGATGGTGATGATGATGGTAATGGTGATGGTGATGGTGATGATGATGCTGCTGATGATGATGCTGATGATCACGATGATGCTGATGGTGATGATGATGAGTGATGATGATGAGTGATGATGATGCTGCTGATGATGATGATGCTGGTCTGATGATGATGATGCTGCCGATGATGATCATCATGATGATGATGATGCTGATAATGATGCTGATGATACCGGTGATGCTGCTGATGATGATGTTGATGTTCGTGCTGATGCTGATTATGGTGTTGATGATGCTGATGATGATGATGATGATGATGATGATGATCGTGCCGATTCTGATTATGGTGATGATGTTGATGATGATGATGTTGATGATGATGATGATGATGATGATGATGATGATGATGATGATGATGATGATGATGATGATGATGATGATGATGATGATGATGATGATGATGATGATGATGATCGTGCTGATTCTGATTATGGTGATGGTGCTGCTGCTGATGATGATGATGAGGAGGATGAGGAGGAGGAGGAGGAGGAGGAGGAGGCTCGAGGAGGTGTTCAATGAGGGGGAAGACGCGGAGCACAAGGAAGAGGAACCATATAGTCAGCAGCAGGACGACCGACCCGCCCGTCCGCGTCGACTGGTCCACGCGGTCACGCCCCTGGGGTCACGCTTCCTGGGCTGTGCAGCCCGTCGCCGCGTCGACGTGCCCATCCGCTGCCTGCATGCGGCATCCCTACAGTCGGGGCGCTGAAGAAGGAACCCTTTTCGTTGGGGAGGGGCCCGGTGTTCCTTGACTGTTTCACAGAGTGCCTCAGGCTTTCCTTACGTCTGCGATGGGTACTCGAAGGTTCACTGATGGAAAAAAGGGGCCTCGCTCCTTATCTGGGGTTCCTTAGGTCAACGCCCCGACTGTACGCCGGATCGCGCCCAATCTCGCGGGGGGAGGCTGCGGCGGCGGGCGCGGACAGGTTGTTTCGGTGCGGAGCGGTGACGCTCGAGGCGTGCGGCCGCCTGGGCGCCGACACCGACGGCGCTCGGGCACCTCGCCACGCTGGCGGCGCGTGCCTGCGGGGCCTCCTCCTCCTCCTCCTCCTCCTCGAGCGTCGCCGCGTTGGCTGCCCCCGGCACTGCTTCGGCAGCAGATCACGGGAGCCCGGCATGCCCTCGCAAGACTCAGAGCGTGAATTACCTACCCCGCTTTCGCTTCCAGGCAAAACCAAGTCATGCCACGCGCCTCCTCGTCAAGCGGCCTGACCAGTACAGGCCGTAGTTTGGCATCGCTTGGTATCTCTTGGAAGCGAGGGTGGTCAAAAGCGAGGTAGGCTTGTCTTCCCCCTAAAGACCGTTCTTCGAGTGCATCAGCGCCAGCGCGCGCTAGCGTCTGGCCGTCGATGAGGAAGCGCAGATTTCGCGTCAAGTCGCGTCGACTCAGCGCCGACTGGCGTCTGTGAGCGTCGATCCGCAAGAGCCAGCAGGATGACATGGGAGGCTCCCACCTGCTGCCGCAGAGAGTGGGCGGCGCCGCGCTCGCTTCCCCTTGGGGCGCTCGGCGCTGGCCCCCCCCCTCCCCCCTCGTGTGCCCTGGATCACGCGCAGGTTTCCGAGCGCGCCCAGCCAACGCTACTCTTAAGTCGGGCGTGTCCCTCTACAGGGCGAGTATTCAAAAATAGTCCAACAATAGTTTGGGGACGTTTTTTTTGTATATTACAATTTTTGAATATATGTGGTGTATTTTGTTGTTAGTATTTCTTATCTCTCGCCCAAATCCCCCTGTAGGGGGACACGCCCGACTTCACGCTACTCCAGCGAGGGCCTCTGCCGATTCCCCCGGACGATCCCTCGGCCCCGGCTCCCCCCCGCCCACCTTCGGTGCCGCCGCCGGAACCCGGCAGCCACGGCACATCGGCGCCGTCGCTCGTCTCGACGGCGCCGACGTCCCAGCTGGGACAGCAACGGGTCGTCACCAGCGTCAATCAGGAATGTATGTTTGGGATGTCCCTTCGGGAGAAGTCGTTGACGAGGCACGCTTGTGGGGCCTCCTCCCTCAACTCCCAGAGCTGCGCCCCCACCTGAGTTATGAGTCTGCTTCGACCGCCTCCACCGCACCAGCGCTCTTGCGCGCCCGTCGCGGCGTGACGAGCTCAAGTGTACTGCGCCATCGAACTATGCAACACGCCCGGCTCCCGCCACAACATCGCTGGCTGATGCGCCGCCATTTTTCGGGGGAGCGTAAGACCCGGGTTTGCCGGGACTCGGGTTCGCCACCGTTTTTTGACGACCGCGCCTCGGATTTTGACGAGGAGGAGTTTCGTGGGATGTCTGCAGCGGGAGACCTCGTCAAAATGCAGGCTCGGCCTCGTCATTTTTTTGACGACCTCGTCGGGGATTTCCGAGTCCCCTGTACCCAGGTCTTACGTCCCCCTGAATTTTCAACACGTGGAATCGCGTCTGCGGCACCCTCCTCCCCTTCGAAGGCCCTCCGACCGTGCGCGCTGGACGCGCTGCGCCCGACTGTCCATCGCGAGGACCCCCGGGCACGGAACCCCGTGGCGCCCGACCTCCGGTCGGGCGCCACGGTACAGGGCGCTCCTCCTCCTCCTCCTCCTCCTCCTGCTCCTCCCCCTCCTCCTCCTGCTCCTCCTTCTCCTCCTCCTGCTCCTCCTCCTCCTCCTCCTCCTCCTCCATCCCCTCCTCCTCCTCCTCCTCCTCCCCCTCCTCCTCCTCCTCCTCACTTCCTCCCGGACGGCTGCGGTGTTGTGGCCCCGCTCCCGGTGCCGAACCCAGCGGCTTTTTGCCGCTGCCTCTCACTGGGCCTCGGGGTCTTCCTCGGCATTTCCAGCCCCGGACGCGCTCCCGCCACCGCGCAGAGCCAAGACCCCCCCTTACCAGCCGTATCCCTATCCCTAAGATTGACGCGCCAAGAGGCGATGACAATCTTAGGGATTCGCCCTGAAAAACGAAGGGAATCCCTGAGATTGGCATCGTGACGAGGAGATGCCCAGCACAGGGATAGGGAGATGTTCCAGGCTGGTCACCTCCGCCCGCTCGCCCCGCCGACGGCCCGACGCCCGGCGCCGCACCCCGATCTCCCGACCAGGCCACCGGGCTTGCGGCACACGGCATGCCCTGCCGAATTCGCCCCGCCCCGCCTTGGGGCCGCCCAGGAGCTCCGACGACCCGGGACGCTGTCGGCGAGCGGCTTGCAAACGCCATGTCTTCGCACCAGAGATTCGAGCGCGCCGTCGGCCCTTCCCTTGGGAAGGTGTGCGGGAGTGGGGGCACACCTTCAGCACATCTTCTGTTGCAAGGGAGCCGTCGCGGCGCTGTGATAATCGCTGCCCTCAAGGGAGGAGGAGGAGGAGGAGGAGGAGGAGTGGGATTTTCGCGGCATCTTCAGCAAATCTTTTGCGAGAGAGGCAGGCCACCATTGTGCTAATGATCAGGAGAGGTTGTCGAGCGTTCGCATAGATACGTTACATACTGGATACCGAAGCGAGGTAATCAGCACGCCTGAAGTAGAATGCACTGAAGGCCAGCGCGCCTCCACATGATAATCAAACACACTCCTCATTGTGAAAAGATCTCGGGCTTGCGAACGGTGCTCTGTAGTGGTGGCATGGCGGCATGGCCTTGGCGTTGTATCGTTGTAGTGATGCGTCTCGGGAGCCTGCTCGGGGTGTTAGGCCCCTCGCGGGCCGGGGCCTCCGACCAGCTGTTTAGGTGCATTCGGGGTTTTTGGGGGCCGTCCTGGGGGTCGTAGGGTCATCAGGGATGGCTCGGGGATCCTTTCAGGCTGGCCTGGGGCCGCCTCCGCGCCGTCCTCTGGGGGCCGGCTCGTGCGCCCTCTGCCTCTCGTCTCCCCGCCCCCCTTTTGCAGTCTCCCCTCCGCTCCGAGGCCCGCCTCCTCCTCCTCCTCCTCCTCCTCCTCCTCCTCCTCCTCCTCCTCCTCCTCCCCCTTCTCCCCCTCCTCCTCCTCCTCCTCCTCCTCCTCCTCCTCCTCCTCCTCCTCCTCCTCCTCCTCCTCCTCCTCCTCCCCACGCTCGCTGCGGTCGCTTCCCCTCCCCGCCCCGAGGCCCGCCGCGCCCGTCTGCTTGCTGGTCACGGTGGTGTCTGCCCAGGG